TAAGACCTATAAAAAAAATGTCAAAAAGAAAAAAGATATGAACCCTCTGTTTAGAGGACTCTTTCAAATATCATTGCCTTTGAAATTTTTAAATTTAAAATTTCATTGCCTTTGGTTAAAAGAGCCATTTAAAGTTTTGTTATTTTCAGTCAGATGAGCCTTTTAAATTCAGTTTCATTACCTTTGGTCAAAAGAGCCATTTAAAGTTTCATAGCTTCTGGTCAGAGGAGCTTTTAATTTTAAAAGCCTCTAGTTTGAGGGCTCTATCAAAATTAAGCATGATTTGTAAAACCAAAAAGCATAATTTATAAGTCCTTTCAGATTTTTAATTTAAAGTTTTGTTGTCACTAGTCAGAGGAGCCATTTAAAGTTTCATTGCCTCTGGTTAGAGGAGTCTTTTAACATTTAAAATTTCGTTGCCTCTAGTTAAAGGAGCTTTTTAACATTTAAAGTTCGTTGCCTCTAATCAAATGAGCCTTTTAACATTTAAAGTTTCATTGTCTCTGGTTATAAGGAGCTTTTTAAATTAAAATTTGTTACCTCTAGTCAGAAAAGCCTTTTAAGATTTAAAGTTTTGTTTGCCTCTAGATAGAGGAGCTTTTTAACATTTAAAATTTCATTGCTTTTGGCTAGAGGAGCCTTTTGAATTTAAAGTTCGTTACCTCTGGTTAGTAAAGCCTTTTTTGAATTTAAAATTTTATTGCCTTTGGTTAGAAAAGCCTTTTAAATTTAAAGTTCGTTGCCTCTGGTCAAAGAAGCTTTTTAAATTTAAAGTTTCGTTGCCTTTGGTTAAATGGGCCTTTTGAATTTAAAGTTCGTTGTCTCTAGACAGAGGAGCCTTTGAATTTAAAGTTAGTTGCCTTTAGTTAGAGAAGTCTTTTAACATTTAAAGTTTCATTGCGTTTGGTCAGAGGAGTTTTTTAACATTTAAAGTTTTGTTACCTCTAGTTAAAAGAGCTTTTTAAATTTAAAGTTTCATTACCTCTAGTTAGATAAGCTTTTTGAATTTAAAGTTTCATAACTTATGTTTAGAGGAGCCTTTCAATTTTTCTTTCAAAAAAATTTTTTTTACGTTCAATGTTTCGTCTTTTGTATGTGTTTGCCCGAACAAAATTGGTGTCTTTTTATCTTTGCTTTATTCCTAATTATCATAAATAAGTAAAGAAGATTAGCTGTAGGCACTAATTTTGTCTTATTCTGTTTTAGCTTAAATATAATTTTGTTTATATTATTATTAAAAAAAAGAAAAAAAAAGTCAAAAAATTTTTTGGTTTTAAGTCTGGTAGCTAAAATCAAGCTACCATAATGGTTCTTTTTTCTCCTTGACACTACCTAACTTGGTAGCATAAAATTTGATGACTAAAAGTCATCAGATAAGTTTCTAAAATTTTTCACAAAAAAATCCCAGAAGATATGAGATTTGAATCTTAGAAGCTCTATAAATAGAGCTAATTTGTGCAAAACATGATGAGAGAAAAAAAGGAGGGGAATACTGTTAAGAAAAAAAGGGCGAGCTAAAAAAAACCCAATAATCACAGTTCTTTTTGACAGAGGAACCGACAGCAAACACAAAAAAAAATTTAAAAACAAAAAAGACCTCTCGAGAATGAAATTTTGATCTATGAGGTTTGAGACTTTTTTAAAAAATTTTGGTTTTGAGGGAATGTTTAGGAAAAAAAAAAGATCAATTGAGATTTTTTAAGATTTTTTGAAAATTTTTTTGGGTTGTCGAATTTTGAAAAACTTTGAAATTTTTGGCGACCTTTGAAGTTTTCGACAATCAAAATTTGGGAAAATGTTTGGAATCTAGAAATTATTTGAATTTGCTGACGCCATTTAAAGTTTTCGGTAACATCATGGTGACGATCGATCGAAAACTAGGTAACTATGGCAGTCGACGCCTTTTGAAGTTTTCGACAATGACAAGATGATGATCGATCGAAAATTGGGTAACTGTGGCAGTTGGCATGAAGCATTAGGTTTTTAAAGAAAGAAGCTTTGAAGATAAAGAGAGAGGGGAAAGAAAAAAATAAAAAAAAATAGAAATAGGCCTTTTATGGGCATACCAAAATGATGTTGTTTTGGTTGTTTGACCTGTGTAGGATCCGTGCAATAACTCACATATGACTTGACCCGTTTGGTAGGTTTTTCTTTTTTTTTTTATTTTGATTTTGATTTTATTTATTTTGTATTGATTTTTTTATTAGTTTTTATGTTATTTTTATGATATTATTGTTATTTTATATTATTACTAATAATAATTCTTTTAGAAATAAATAAATAAAAATAAAAATAAAACTAAAATAAAATATAGACTTAAAAAATATAATATGCAAAAAAAGATAATAACTATTTAAGAAAAATAAAATTTTATTGTAAGCAAAAATGTTATTTAAGTTTCACTAAAGTGTTGGGATAATTTAAAAAATAATTTTTGCTAAAAAATAAATTTTAATAAAAAAGATAAATAAAAAAATTGATAAATTGTTTAAATGAATATTTTAAATGTAATTTTTAGAGAAAACTAAAAAAGTTTGGTTTTCTTTAATTATTGCAAGTAAAAATAATTTTTCAGATTTCACTATAAAGTTGGAATAATTCAAAATTATTTTTATTAGAACAAAGGTTTATTTAAACAATGTAAAACAATAATAATAAAAAATAATAATAATTGATATTTTGAATAAATTTTTATAAAAAAATGAATTTTTTTAAAAAAATTGAAAAAGTTCGATTTTCTTTAATATAAGTAAAAAATTAATATTTTTAGATTTTATCGGTGAGTGGGGATAATTTAGAATTTTTTAAATAATTAAAAAAGAAATAATAATAAACAGTAAATAATAACAACAAAATAATAAAAATAATCACAATAAAAATTAATTAATTAATTAAATCACTTAATTATCATAAAAAACTAATTGTATTTAGGATCTCATTAAAAAGTTTAGATGATCTTAAAACTTGTTCAAAATTTTTAAGATTTCGCTGAAAAGTTGAGATAATCTTAAATTTGTTTAATAAATTTTGAGAACTTACCAAAGAGTTGAAATGTTTTTAAAATCATTTCTTATTTTATAAATAAAATATCTTATGATCAGATTTAGAAAATTTTATGAATGGTCAATTTTTTCAAAATATTTTCTAAATAAAGATTTTCTATAAATTCTACCAAAGCTTTGGAGAATTTATAGAATATGAAAATAATAATAATAATACTAATTTCACAACAAAGAAGTATTTTTTTTTCATAAATAAATTTTTAAGAAATTAAATTTAAATATAAAAAAGATCGCTTCATCAAAATTAAAGGATTACACATGTTTAATTGGTGTCATTCTTCAAACGGACGATGTGAGAGTGCTAATACCTTTTTCACTTGTAATTATACTCTCGGACTTAATATTGATTTTGCTGACCTAAATTTCTTTTAATAAATCTTAATCATAAGATTTTTATTAAAAGATAATATTTTTTGATGGCCAATCACACTCTAGAAAAAAGATTGGTGGTGACTCTGAAACTTTTTACAAAGTCTAGCGATCGAGTCCCCCACACACGTAAAATCGTTATGACAAATATATTAATATATTATTTAATAGTATATTATTTATTAATATAATATTATTTATAAGTAAAATTATACTTAAAAGTATTGATAAATAGTTCTACTCATAAAGAGTTCTTTTTCGAAAAATATTTTCTCGTTTTTAAATCCGTAAGAATTTTCAAAAAAAATTGTCTTATTTTTCGTTGATTAGTTAGTTTTCTGCTAAACAAACACATGAAAATACAAAAATTATTTTTTGAAAATAATATTTTGTGAAACAATCGAAGCCTAAGTTTGAATTAGTGGGTGAAAGAAATATTTTCACATGGAAAAAAAATACTCATTTCTTTCTAGTCTGGATTGACTATTTTGTGCCAAAATAGAATTGAGAATAGGAATAAAATTTGTGAAATTTGTGAAAAAATATTCATGCATAGAAAGGTGCTTGTGAAAGAGCTGAGCATTGATGATGGACAAAGTGTTGTCACTAATATCTAGCATTATTTGTCTTATGTGTATGAATGTTTAACTATTAACTATAACTTTTTAATTTTGCATTTTTGGTAGATCTAATGGTTGAATTGAAATTTATGCTTGTGTGACTTGCTTGCAGTTTTCCTGTTAAAGCAACATGACAAGTCATTCTGTGGACATCTTAAAAAAACATTTTGTTATAAAAAATCTTGCAATTTGGAAGATGACCAAGTTGTTGAAGAACATGATGTCAATGTCTGTGTTGCGTAAAGTCTAGATGCAATAGGAACAGGATTGCTATTATATGTTCAATGTGAGAGAGAGAGAGAGAGAGAGAGAGAGAGAGAGAGAAGGGAGGGTCTTTGTTAACTTATGAAGCAAAAGGTTTGTATGAATTGATTGTATTTCTCACTGAGTTGTCAACTTGCTCCATCCCCTTGACAATAGTTCTGCTAAGTATTTGGACTCCTTGTTTTCTTGATCACCGTGTATATCACGTACTACCCTAAACTTGTGCCATTTCGTAGTTGTGGGTAGTAGATATGCTGGTTGAATTGGTTGTATTCTTCAAAAACAGTTTGATAGGCCAAGTATCGCGAGGAAGTTTTTGCACTTGTCCTAGATATCTGGTTATCAAAAATTACGAGCATATCAATGGTTGTTTTAGCATGTGGAACTTGTCTTAGTTACCTGTAGCTGTGTTTACTGTTTATTATAATTAATAGACTCATAGACTCTGGAATCTTCCAGGTCAGCATCCTTTTCAATGTTTGAATTAAGACTATATTCCGCATCCTAAAGTGTTTTGCAGAAATTGGGCTTTCTATATGTGGTCAAGGCATATTAGCATATCATCATCTGTACAATACATGATATAATGAATATTTTATTCTACTTTGGACTCTAATATGACTACAATTAACTCTTTTTAATTATAATCAGTTGCTTCTTATTGATTTATATGTACTCCCCGTAGTTCCCAGTGGGTCGTGTCCATCGACTGCTGAAGACAAGGGTTAATGCAAATGGAAGGGTCGGAGCAACAGCTGCTGTTTACACAGCTGCCTTACTGGAGTACCTGACTGCAGAAGTGTTAGAACTGACAGGTAATGCAAGCAAGGATCTGAAGGTTAAGCGTATTACGGCTAGGCATTTGCAGCTTGCTATCCGGGGTGATGAAGAACTCGACACCTTGATCAAGGGAACCATAGCAGGCGGTGGTGTTATCCCCCATATTCACAAATCACTTATCAACAAATCCTCTAAGGAGTAGTTTATGTAATTGATCTCTTTTCGTTTTTGTCTGTACCCACAAACCTCAGCTTGTTTCCAGACAAGGTGGATACGTGTTTTCCAGTAGCTAATAATGGCGATTCAGGATTTGAATTAGAAAGATGGCTTCAAATTGCAATTCTCGTACAAACTGCTGATATTTTACACACAAGCATTCGTAAAATACTCCGTTACATCTTAGCAAAGGTGTAAAACGGATTAAGCAGATACGGTTTGACACGATATGAATTGTGTTTAATAAGATTCATTATTAAATAATCAAGTTGGATAGGCATGATGTTAGTTATGTTTGACAAGATCCGTTATTAAATAATTTAGTTGGATCAAATTTGACACAATTTGGCCAGGTAAAGGATTTTGGGTTTGGAATATGTTGAGGGCTAATGCTAATACGTGGCAAGCTAACAACACAGCACGCCTTTAGGAGGTCTGAGGGCGGAAGAGTGATTCTTTTCTCCAATTTTATTTATTGATATCTAAGGGCCTAGCATAATGATTTGACCGTAGAATTGTTGAATATAAGATCGAAAATGAATATGAACTAAAGAATTTATATCTATAATTTATTTGTTTATTTTTAAAGATGTTAGTATTTAATTTATGTTTATTAAAAAAATTATTTTTTTTGTTTGTAATCGATTCATTTAAATAATAAATTATTTATATTTATTTTATATTCAATTTAATTAAATTAAATAAATTTATTTATTAACATTAAACGAATATGATTATGAATATATATAGATATTTATATTTATGAATAATAAATAAATTATAATTAAATAAATTTAAATTAATATAAATAAATTTTAAAATAAAAATATAAATTTATTAATATTATAAAAAAACAGTAAATAAATAACAAATAAATAAAAAATAAATTTTAAACAAATTTATTTATAAATATAAATAAATCAAATAAATTTTTATCATATAAACAATATAAAAATATTATTTAAAATTATTTATTAATCTTAATAAACAAATATAAATAAATAAAAATAAAATATATTTATAAATAATTTATTAAAAATTTTATTCGTCGGTTATCACAACATTAGCTTTTGGTAAAAACTAAAACCTGTGTCGTTCGTATGCAGACATCCATGACAATAATTTAGTTTATCTGCCCAAATGATGTGATTTGACCCACAGACAATTTTGCTGGCTACGGGGCCAATTAAATACTGAAATAGGAACCGAAAACGTGACTTATTATAATTATTACGTTTCCTTCCATAAAAAATATATAATAATAATAATAATAAATATTTCATTTCACGAAAATTAATTTTAAAAAAACTAATTTTTATATTTTTAAATATTTATTTAATAAAAAATTTATTAATCCACAAAAAATAATTTATCTGTCAATGAAACATAAGATATTTTTAGAAATTATTTTTTTATTTTGAAAATAGAAATATAAATTTTTAAAAAATTATTTATGAATAAAATTATTTACCAAGCTCTTGGGTACAATTTTAGGTAAGTCAAATTTTAAACATGATTTTATAAGTTCAAATTTAATTTAAGCCAATAAATAAATATTATTATATTAATAAAAATATTTTTATTTATTTTTATTTAAAAAATTAAAAAATAAATATTAAAAATCTTTTAACACTTTTAATTTTAAATATTTTATAAGTATACTCAAATACGATTTTGAACATGTTATTCAAGCTCGAGTTTGATTTATTCTGATTTAAAAATATTATTATATTAATAAAAATATTTTTATTTAATTATAGTTAAAATATTAATATATTACTAACTTTTGAATTTAAATTTTAAAATGATGTAAAAGCATGTAAAACAAAAATAAAAAATAAAACTTTGAACATAAAAACTTGGTTTATTTTTAAAAAATTTATTTATTAAATATATAATACATTATTATTTAAGATGGAGATTTGAAACTCCACAAACAATATTTTTAAAAATATCGTATGTATTTTTTTTAATTACATTAATTTTTTTAATATGAATTCATTTTTTATACAAAGGTGATTGGAATTTTTAAATTTTACAAGTAAAATTTAAAGATTGACAAAAATATTTTTTAAATAAAAAATAATATTTGGTAAGTTTGAAATTGAATTATAATATTTGTAATATTTTTTATTATCAAATTACGACTTTTTATGTACTAAAAAATATAATATTTTTATTATATTGATTTTTTTGTTTATCTTAATAGACATTAAAAGTTTATGTGTCATCTTTTTTAATTTCATTAATGAAGTTTTTAAATTCTAATTATGGTGAATGAGATGTATATATTTTTTGTAATAAGATAGTATTTTCATGTATCTTAAAAATATGTGACAATTTTTAATTTTATTAACATTGTTTAAATTTTCTAATAATAATGTATGAAATATTTTTTATTTACAACATATTGATTTATGTCTTTTCATATGATAAAGTGAATTAGAATTATGAAATCATCACTTGATTTTGATTTATAATTTATATGATTTTAGGTACAAAGAATTAGATAAAATCTTAAATTTGAATCATAATTAAGAAGAAGATAAGTAAAATAGAAGCGTAGTTAATGAAGCAAAAGCTGGCCAATTTATTTTTTATTTTGATTTTTGACATAAAAAATTTGTCAAGAAACAACTAAAGAAAAAGATTAAGGAGAAAGCAAAAGAAAATGACAACGGACAACAAGGAGCAAGAGCCCTAAGAACCTGACCGTTTGGATAAGTAGTGGGTGGGGGTCGTAGGAACGGAGGGGATGATGATCGGGACCAGAAATCTAAAATTGCACCCTAGCACTACTCACTATGAGTCACGTCACCATCACTGGTTACGGTCCCACTATCCTTCCAGTCTGTCCCTTCTTATTCTTGACACGTGGCATTTCGAGTACAGTCTATCTCTCGTTGTTTTGAGGAAGTATCCCGGCTCCTGTTTGGGTTAGAGGTGGGGCCCCTATCCCAGTGGAACCAGTAACGGTTGGTTTTCCAAAATTATAAAATTAAAACATAAACTCCATGGAAAAAAACAAATTTCTTTTTTTTTTGCAAAAATATTTAATTAATATTAATCACTAATATATGAATGCTATCAATGATTTTAAGACCTTTTTGTTTTTTGAAAATTGTGGAGTTCAATAACTTTATTGATAGTGTATATTTATTTTTTTAAGTTACAATAGGTAGGAGTGAAAGAAATTGAAAAAATTAAAAATTAATTTAAAATTATAATATTTGATTCAGAACGAATTAATTTTTTTTACTCAATTTAGATTAAATTTAGATATTAAAAAATATATATATATTATATTCAAATTAGATTTCGAATCAAAAAATAAAAAAATTAAATTAAATTATATTTTTTTTAGCTTTTATATATTTTTTAAATTTTTATAAAAAATAATTATTTTATATCTAAATTTATTTAAATATTTAAAAATTATATTAAAATAATTTATAAAAAATAAAAATTTTAAAAAATTAATAAACGAAACTGAACTAATATAATTTGATTATAATGGGATCATATTGGAATTCAATTTAAATTCAGATTGAATTGTTAAAATTTATAATTTTTTTCATTATTAAAAAAACCGAACTAAATTCATTTTTATTCAAACCGTTATAACTCCTATAAATCATAATCAAATATAGTTTCTTTTTAATTATAATTATAATCAAATATTATATTTAATTGAATAATCAACTATTATATCATAATGAAATTATGATCACTAAACAATTAAACCTATACACAATAAAATTCAAACATAAAATTTTAAAATTTCAAGACATTTTTTTTGTCATTAAACCAAGACCTCTTATATTGCATGCATATATATATATATATATATAACTATTTAAAAATTAAAAAATATTAATAATTTTTAACTAATTATTGAATTAAATTTTTAATAAAATGATTTTATTTTTAATATTATATTTTTAATCCTAATTTTATTTCACTATTATGGTATTATAATTGAAAGAATCTGAAAATATGAACATTAATGTAATTTTTTATTACACAAATATTAATATATGTAAAATTATACATAAAATAAAAATATTTTTAAAAATAACAATTATAAAATTTTATAAATAAGATTTTTGATAGATTTAAAATAAAATTTATCTTATAATAATGCACGAGGTAAAATTCTCTAAAAATTTGTTTTGAAGAAGGATAAATTTCTAATTTACTAATAATTAATAAAGAGTAAAACATATGCCGGATTTATTTAGTGAGATCCAAGTGGTGTGGTCACATGCGCTAATTTTGGTGATTTTTCTAATATGAAGGCTACTAGAGTGCCACATTCGGCTCAGCCTAATTGCCTAGTTTGTTCCCCTTTTTTCTCTGATTTCCAATCCTAACAAGTCATCCAACCCACGTGCATTTTTCAATTTTCATATTTTCAAAAAAAAAAAAAGTATTGATTAAGATTAATTAATTCAAAGCTTGAGGAAAATTGATTTTGAAATTCCCACATGATAACATGCATGAAGAAAATTGTCACAGGAGAATTATATGAAAGAATCGTTTTTTTTTTTTTTTTTTTTTAAATTTTTAGCTGATAAGTAAATTAAACTAAATAAAAGATTGAATATGAACATCTGAATTATTATGAATTTTAGTCTTTGACTTTGAAAGATCTTATATAGCAAGTCCTGTCGGTCAAGGCTCGACTCTTTATGGTGCATATGCACTTAATTATGTAAAACTAGTTCATTAATTATTACACATAGCTAATCAATCCTAACGAATTAAATGCCAGCCTTCTTGTGACTAAATTAGGAAGAATTTTGTTTCCTAAATATTTAAGGCAACCGAAAAAGTATGAAATTTTGAGTCACCCCTACCCTGTCCTCCTCAGACTCTGCTGCTGCCTGCTTACATCTCTATGGGCTCTTTCTGTTGCTGTCAATCAGACTTGCTATCAGATTCCTTTTAGTTGATAAAAATGGAAGAATGGAAGAATCCCCTTCTCAATCTTTATTCCGTACCAAAATGAAGCTTTAGCTGAGAAAGAGAGGCAATTATTTTTTTTTGGTTTTGGTAACGGGTTGTTCAAGTTTTAGCTCCTAGTTTCTTACACAAAAAGAAAGAATAGTGATAATATAGCAAGTCCAACTAATTCAAAAAGAAAATAAAAGCATTTTTAGTTTACACAAAAGCATGAAAAAAAATGTTTACATTGAGAATCTTAAACAAAAATGTCATAGGTAACTTTTAGCTTATCTCAAAAAACTGAGTTTTTAATATTCAATTCGTTAAATATTTAAATAATAAATGTGTTACATTAGTTAACTTTTGGGTTATAGTTGAAGTTTGATTTCAGAACTTTCAATTTTGGAGCCAATTTTAGTATTATTGAATTAACAATTTATTGATCAATATTGACTATATTAAAGACATTCTAATAG